CAGGAATGGACCTATATGGCTTCATTGGTGTCAAAGTGCCTAATATTATAGACCTAGTATTACAGTATGGAACATTAGATTGAAAGAATGCTGAAATAGAATACGTGGGTTTGTAACCTACAAAACACTCAGCTAAAAGCAGCACACTCCCCTGACACAAGGCTCCTTGATTCAGAGGAATGCACAGCCAATAACAGAGCACAGTGGTAGGATACAACCAATGGTATTCAAATAAATCTGAAACTATAAACATTTGACAGTATTTGCATGCAATTCTGGACAGCTTTAACTCTTAATTTCACCGAAATCTTTTGTTTCTTCTTTCCCACCCCTTTTAACTTTATTTCTTCACTGTAACATGTGTATAGGAAAATGGGAAGGATAAGGGATACATTTAATAATAAATTAATATTAATTTTTTATTTAACCAAGTTCAAAAACAAATAAAATGATGATAAAAATAGGCCAGTATCCAAAGAACAGTAAACCATTATTTTCTTTTGGAAATCAAGAAACAAACTCAAACAAGCAATTATCTTCCACACATTAGAGCAAACTATTTGAAAATGAAGGGAGTTTCAAAAGCAATTTTTAGAATGAGAGCCTGCTTTTCCAGCATCCAAAATTCTACTGGCTTAGCTCAAATCCTGCATGTGTATCTAGGCAGTTATTTTTTAAATTCTCATACAGTGAACTTACCTGCATTGAAATCAGAATGAAATCAATCAAGCTACCAATTCCACAAAACCCCACTGTGCAGAACTTTAACAAACCTGAGGAAAAAATTACAATTATACTATTGAACCAGTTGCACATAAAGCTTTAGAATATTAGTTTCAGCTAGGCTTGCCAAGTCCCCCCGGGGGGCGGGGAAACCCCCGCCCCAGAGGCCTGTTCCCCGCCGCCGGCGGATCGGGCCCCGGGGGGAACCCCACCCCGACGTGTGCGTCACCCGGAAGTGACATGACGACGCTGGGCACGCTGGGGGCGGGGCCACGGTCATCCGAGGGAAAACTCTATGGTTTTCCCTCGGATGGTTGTGGCCCCGCCCCCAGCATGTCCGGAGTCATCAGGTCACTTCTGGGTGACGTGCGTGCGGCGTGTGCTTCAGCTGCCCTCCAGCTGCCAGCGGGGAGTCCCCCGCTCCGGCGAAATTTTGACTTGGCAACCCTAGCTTCAGCACATATAGAAATCTGTTTTCTAATACTATAGGCTAGATTCTGCCTAGTTTCACACAAGTGCAAGGGGGTGGGTTGATATTCCTCCCTCCCTTGGCAGCCCAAAAGCATCCCCCAAAATGATGCTCCTGCAAGATATAGGGGCTCCCAGGAATAGCTTGGGTGGGAAACAGATGTTTCCTGCAGAATGAGGACCTGCAAAAGTTGGCCTTTCCTTTGTACCCATAGAAATTTAGGTGGAATCCAAACCTATACTTCATGCAAAGTATTTTTAAAAATTCTGGATAAGCATAATATACACATTACTGTCTACGGATCATACCCCATCTATAAATTTAGGCACCTACGTGTGAAGGACTGTACAAAAGAAGAAAAAGGAATGCAATTTTTTTTGTATACTTCTGTGACAGAGCTGGAATACTCCTATACTCCTGTCCTTCAAAGTGACTGATTGGGAATTTCCCCCTCAGATGGAAGAAAGAGTCAGACAACCAAGGTTGGATAAAATAAGGGCACTTTATTAACATATTAAAGTAACGGCAAGGGCAAACATGAAACAGCAGCTCGGTCAAGGCCTGGTGTCGCTTTGACCCCATCCTTAACCATATAAAAAGCAAGACACCAAGGCCCCGGGTTGGAGTCAACTGTAAGTCGCTTGCAAACCCAGCCGAGAAAATTATTGGGATGCGCCTTCAGGAGCCCTCAAACACCACCGCACGGCCAGCGTTGAGTCTCTGTCGTGGCCATCCCCATAGGCAGTCTGCAAGCCTCATCCCTGGCCGCACGGCCACAGGGTTGATCCCGCAGACCCTCTCTACCCCCCAGGGGTTATTGATTGGTGCTTACGTAGCCGCTGAACTTTATTTAAACCTAATTCTGCCCTAATAAAGTGATTAACTAACACAAGGCACCATCCCAAACCAATTCCTTAATCCACTGGCAGTAGTGCAGGGTAGGCGAAAAAGACCCCTTCTCAATAGCCAATCAGAGAAGGGGACAAAAAATTCCTACCCGGCCCCCCATTAAACGGGGCAACCAACCTGTGCTTACACTACATACAGGGCGGGTGGGTGGGCCGAGCACGAGGCGAGCAACTGCCAGGGGTAGAGCAGAGCCAGCCTTTAAGAACTGTGCTGGGTCCGCTCCCCCTTTAGGAGCTAAGGCTGCACCGCAGCCCTTCCTCCATTCCTCCTCACGAGGAGGCAAAGGCGGCCCCCAGGAGGCATGTCATTGGCTGCCTCCTGTGGGGCCGGATTCTTACTTAAATCAAGGCAAAGAGCAGAACAAGCAACCTTCAGGGGCAGGTACATTCTCATGCAACAACCCTGCCAGGTTATATTTCTATAACATGGATTTTTATTCAGTTACACTATCAAGCCATCTATGTTCTTCAAATATTCCATCAAAATACTAACTTGTCTCTCAAAAGTTACTGTTCGCTAACTTTCTAAGTACATGTTTCTCAAAATGTGCATGAAGTTTCAACAAGGAAATGCCAGAATACTTCTAAGGCTAGCAGATGCTCCTGCAAGCCCTCTCAGTTTTTAGTATGTCAATGGGGTTCTGAAAGCCATCTTGATGAAGTGACATTACAGAAAGCCAATAGAAGATATCAGTGATTTTAATGAGTTCTTCTATGTCCTGCAATGGCCTATAATGTACGACCAATACAGAAAGCTATCCATTCCTTTATCTTCTTGACCCTGGTCAGTTTACAAGGTATAATTCAAGCAGCCCGATCATGCACATGTTTACTCAGAAGTAAATCCTACCATGTTCATGAGCTTTTGAGGGGGGGGGGGACTTAGGGTGACCCTGTAGGATTTTCAAGCCTGACCCTGTTTAGCTTCCGAGATCTGATGAGATTGGGCTAGCCTGGGCTATCTAGGTCATGGGGCTTATACCATGCACATTACCACAACCACTAACAATACTTAAAAATAAAGAGATACTCACCTAAGGCAGGATATCCTAGATAAAACCTATCTGCTCCCAACCAACCAAGAAATAAAGACAGAGCTACTGCTACTTTGTAGGAATAACCATTTCTAGGAACAAAAACAAGAGAAAAAAGAGCTGAAATTATTTATTAAATCATCCTCATTAAATTAATGTGCAACAGTTTTCAGTTGCTTATTTAACAAGAAATTTCACTTCAGAACCTAACTGCTTCACAGCTTGATCAAATGGAAATTCAGCCATGCTTATACACCAACAACATATGACCAGAAATACATACAGGAGCAAATGTTTTCAGAATCAATATTTGCAGTACTACCATATTTGTAATTAATTAATGCAATATGGACATGGAAACATCTATCTAGGCTTGAACAGTCTCAGGCTTGATTATTCTTCTAGTTCAAATATAAAGTGACACTTGCTTCACATGGCCAATCAACAGGATGTGCCATTTTCAGCTGGTTACTACAAACCACACCAGCAATGAGAATAATTCAGTGATTCTATACTTAAGCACATATACTATTTACAGACTTTTCAAAATGCAAAGTGCCACAACCTATACACACTGAACCATTCCACAGGTACAACAAAGTTTAAAGAAGGTAACGAGTCACACTTTACAGGTTGTTCATGAGTTGGAAATAAAAAAAAAATCCCTGTTAGATATCTAGACCTATTTTTTATTCAGTATTTCTTTTCTCCCTACAGCACATCAGATTCATCATGCAGCACTAAGGAAGTTGAACAATACAGTTTCTGCCATCCCCAGATATCACACTCCATCATAATGACACTAGTCAATATCAACAGGTTGACAAGGTGGTGGAACTTGGCACAATGACATCCACTCCCAGATGGCAGGAAAGCTCTTGTTCCATTTCCAGCACTTCAAAATTTATTTTCCAAATACCAAACATTCATACCCAGTCACTGCCAATCTGAGCAGTTCATATGAGCAAATGCAAATCTCTCAAAGTGGAAATTTATTAACTTAAATCTGGAAAAAAATGATGGTATGAATTAGACCCATTAGGGGTTATGAGCGGTATAGAAATCACATGTAAAATAAAAAATAAAATAAAATAGACAGTTTGCAAGTAAAGTGCCATATATGCTGTGGCGGAACAGGTTTGTTCTGACGTACAGACCCTGTTCTGCCAGCCCCCTCCTTGGCCTATGCCAATTCCTGGGGGCTGCTATTCCACTTCTTCCCATGAGAGTACCGCTGCCACCACTGTCTTTTTGGGGTCTTCCTGTCAGGAGGGACAGACTCCTGACACCCCTTCTCAAACTGAGGCACTGTCTCTGGTCTGCTACCCAACTCCTACTTAACATAGCGACCAAATTCCTTCTTTGGGGGCTCCCTGAAGGATTGGCAACAAGTGACTTGACTGCTTGCCTACCCCCTTCCTGGGACTCCCCTCTTACAGTGGCATGGTCTAGGACGGTTGGGGGAACTATGTGGTCCAGAGAACATTCCCAGCTTCAAAAAAGTAAAATATTTATTAAAAAGAGAAAAAGGTTACAAGCATACTCTTAGCACAGCACCAGATCAGCAGCCAGAAAGACAAATAAAAGTTGGTCATAATCGCATCCTTCTTTCCCTGCTTCTAAATTTACTCTACTAGATGCTGAAATGGAGTAGGCAATTTCAAGCTTAGAAAGTCACAAAAGGTTCTTAAGATGTTTCATTACCTAGGCTCTCTGCAGCCAGCAGGCCAGGCCACATGGCCGATGGCTCCTGGCCTGTAGAACAGAGCTCAGCCATCTGTCCTCCCCCAACGATCAGCACCAAGAGTAAAAGAGCCCCTCCCTCCTGGGAGCAAGCACTTTTATTAAACCTCTGACCCCACCCATTCTACATCACACTCTCCACCCCCTTTGACCTGGTCCGCCCAGGTCACCCAAGTGAACCCTGGGCTGTTCAGGTGCATTCTGGGAGCCCTCCTTGCAGGCATTCTGGGAGATCTCCAGGAGTCACCTGGAGATTCCTAACACCAAATCCTTCAGTTCCTTTGCAATTCAATCCATTTGAATAACTATGGCAGGTAATTGACCTCGCTTTCTGCCCTTCCAGAGAGAAGAGAAAAGAAAAAAATCAGAAACCCCACCCTGAGGGGATGCCAGACCCCCACCCCTGGTGTGCCTCACCCTGCAGCAGCGGGGAGGCTGGTGAAGGAATGAGGGGGGGCATGTCTTCTCTCTCTTTCCTTTGCTACCCCCACTCCACACTAATCTACTTAAGTCCCCAGCACCCTGGCCTCTGCCCCACCAGCCAAACATTTCTGGCTACGGGGATGGCAGCATCCACAGACAACATCAGTTTTTTACTATATACTGTATACTGGGTTTGTATACTGAGTATCTTTCTCTTAAGTGTTTTGCACAACCTGCTGAATCCCAAGACTGCTTTTAGTGGTTCAGTGCTGCCTACATCTGACTCACACGAACACACATGAAGCTGAAACTACTGGTCTATCAAGGTCAGCTCTGTATACTCTGACGGGTAGCAGTTCTCCAGGGTCCCAGAGAGGGTTCTTTCCCATAACCTACTATCTGATCCTTGAGGGGGGAAAATCGATATACCTGGAGCTTTGGATGAAAAGGAGATATTCTGCTATTGAGCCATAGATGAATCTGAAGTGGGTTTCCAGTTCCTTATTCATGAATCCTAACTCAAATACTGATACTTAAAAACCTCTACACTCCTCAATAAAGTCTGGATAATCACAAACACCTGAGCTAGTTCAAAAACTGTTTTTGCTCTAACTGTTCCAAAGTGGGGTGCCTCAATTAAAATGCAGAAAAAGAAACTTGAGGTATCTGGATCTCAAAAATAAGATTTGGGCTACCCTGAACCATACACCCACATACTTGAGAAACTGTGTCCTGCAAGGTAAAATGCAGGTGGTTAGTCCCTAGTTCTGGCACCAAGAACTTCTATTCGGGGTCCCCCAGGAAGTGTTTACGCTGTACAGTCCCAAGTGTATGGGTGTATGATTTGGGGTAGCCCAAAACTTTTTGGGGAGTACAGGAACCTCCAGTTTCTTTTTCTGCTTTTTTTTGTTGGGGGCACCACAATTTAGAGCTTTTGCTTTGAACCAGGGAATAGCCATCAGTTCCCTTGAAGAACAGAGTCCCCAGAATCAGTGTTCCCTCTAAGCTGAGTTTGTGTGAGTTAGCTCACAGTTTTTTAGCCTCCAGCTCACACATTTTTATTTTAGCTCAGGAAGGATGGCTCTAGAGCAAACTAATTTAAGCAGCAGTCAAATTGCTCGCTCACAACTTTAATGCCAGTAGCTCACAAAGTAGAATTTTTGCTCACAAGACTCCATAGCTTAGATGGAGCATTGTGCCAGAATGTGAGGATATATAATTTGTTGTGGTCTTGGTGTGTAGTGTAGAGCTTTTTAAGCGTCATCAATACTTGTGGTTGGATTCATTAATAAAGAACTAGAAAGTGTGACTAAGGAACTGGGAACCAACTTCAGCCTTCTTCTGTATGGAGTCTGGCTGTCTAGATCAGTACACTGGGAAGACAACACCAACAAATCATGTAAACACCTAAAACGCTACTAACACGAACATATAAATACATAAGGCATCCCTATCTCTTCAATCAAAACATATCATAAGGAAAGCTGGACTAGATTTAGATGAAGGTGGACTGAAAATTGGTGGAAGGAACATTATCAACTTGAAATATGCAGGTGACACCACATTACTGGTAGAACATAGTGAAGACTTGAAATACCTACTACTGAATGTTAAAGCAGAAAGTGCCAAAGCAGGATCACAGCTGAAAATCTAGATGACAAAAGTAATGACTACTGGGGAATTACTTCAGAGTTAACAATGAAGAAACCGAAATTGTTTAAGATTTTCTATTCTTTGGCACAATCATCAACCAAAAGGGAGACTGCAACCAAGACATCAGAAGAAGACTGGGACTGGGAAGGATGGCCAAGGAGCTAGAAAAGATTCTCAAGTGAAAGGATGCACTGCTGGCACATTCATACAACAGTATTCCCCATTACTAAGTATGGGTATGAAAGGTGGAAAATGAAGAACGCTGACTGGAAGAAACTAGATTCCTTTGAAATGTGGTGTTGGAGAAGAGTTCTATGGTTACCATGAATGGCACAAAAAGACAAATCAGTGGATTTTAAATCTAATCAAGCCTAAACTTTCCCTAGAAGCTAAAATGACCAAACAGAGGCTGTTGTACTTTGGTTGCATTTATGAGAAGACAAGAGTCCCTGGGAAAGACAATAATGCTAGGAAAAGCTAAAGGCAGCAGGAAAAGAGGAAGACCCAACATCAGATGGATTGACTCAACAAAGGAAGCCACAGCCCTCAGTTTGCAAGACATGAGGAAGGCTCTTAACAACAGGACGTTCTGGAGGTCATTGATTCACAGGGTCAACTCACTATAAGTCAGAAATTACTTGATGGCACTTCACACACACACACAGAAACAACATGTACATAGTTTTTCCTTAGTGTTCAGATCCACACATTCTGTAGCATGGGTCCTTTTTGAGCCTGCAGGAACCTTGGGAATTTTGAAAGGGGGGTGGGGTCACCCCATAATGGCTGCCACAGGAGGCCAAGCCAGATGTAATATCTCCTTCCCTGTTTGCAAAAGAATTGTAGAAGGGGAATAAAAGGAAGGAAGGAAGATGCAGGAATAAAAAGAAACAAAGGAAAGACTGCAGGGGGATGTGAAAGAGAAGGAAGGAGAAAGAAAAAGAAAAGGAGAAAAGCATGAGGGAAAGGGAGAAAGAGCTTGGGCAATAAAAAGAAGGAAAGCCTGAGAAGGGAAATGGAACCACAGACAGACAAAGGAAAACCCAGGTGTCTACCCATCCTCCTGATCTTCCAGTGGCTGAAGCTATATTACAGCCACAAAAAAAAAAAATTTGTTTGAATGAGGGCAACCAACAACAAGCCCTGTGTCACAATGGCCTACCCACTTTCTTTCTGAAAAGTTTGACAGGTGCCAGGAAGAGTACTGGCAGGTGCCATGGCACCCATGAGTGCCACACTTGAGAATGCTGTTCAAGTCACTAGTTTAGGCTCCAGCTGCAAATGTAGTTGGCACCAATGCTCCGTCTAAGCTGTGAAGTGTTGTGAGCAAAAATTCTACTTTGTGAGCTACTGGCATTAAAGTTCTGAGCAAGCACTATGTCTACTGCATAAATTAGTTTGCTCTGGAGCCGTCCTTCCTGAGCTAAGACAAAAATGTGTGAGCTGGAGGCTAAAAAACTGTGAGCTAGCTCACACTAACTCAGCTTAGAGGGAACACTAGTTGGCACATAACTTTGTAGAAAGATGACGTAAGATAACAAATAAAGAGCCAGAAGACCATTAAGACCAACTCCCGGTCCCAGGTCAAACTGCCCAGACTCCCATAATCCAGATCACAGCAGCAAATGATGTGTATCATATCAAATGCCAACTGAGGAACTAGCATCATGTAATGTGCCTTTTATTACTACAAGTGAAGGTTGAAGGTACCAGAGGTAAACAACATGATGAAAGAGAGCTCTTCCTCACCTCAAACCTGGCAAGTGGTTTATCAGTGGGTCAATACAGACATTCAACTTACAGTTTGGGAGAAATTACATGCTTCTTAAATATGTACTGAAAAGCTCTAACTGGCTTTGCAGTATTCCCTGGTTACTGATGACCCACCCTACTGATAGCACATTCTTTTACTATGAGTGACTATATTAGCTCTTCCTGTACCTCCATGAAATGCTGCAGCATTTTGTCACCATTTCCTATTTATTTATATAGAGAGATGAGTGGAGAGGAGAAACAGAACAAGCCCCTACTGGGTATAATTTGAAGTACTAAACATACTTTTTATACCCATTTCTTATGCAATGGGTTTTGCTTTCTATTTTAAATGGTGCCTCCACTGAGTGCACATATGTACCACATCTGCAAAATGAAACAAAGTATCTAAAACTTTATTCATTTAAAATGAAATAAATTCAGAATTAAAATCACAATTGTACACACACCAGCTCTTCATCACACAATAAAACAGACATAAAATATCTGGGTACGGGTTCTTTGTAAATAGATAGTCACAGTTATCTGTCTATGTGATAGAGCTCAGAAAGAAGAAGACTGAAGAACATTTCAAAATAAGGGAAACTAAAGCATATAAAATATTTTATAATTAAACACTTTTAGCCAATGTGGAGACATTTTATCATGACAACCAGAGACATTGTATACTGAGCACATATTGAGCACAATTATTCACTTACACATTTCGGCATTCTATGGGTCTGTAAAATCCAACTCTTTTCCCAGTAAACTGAGTTTCATTTCCACTGAAATCCTTGCATGTAATATTTGGTGCTGGATGACAGGCAACTGAGGGGAAAACAAGAGTTATGACCGATACATTGCAACATTCTGGGTTGCTCTCCACTGAAAGACCCCACAGTACATAACTGAAGGAACAAAGAATGTGCATATTCTCAAAATGCTCAGCACAAATGTGTGACTATTGTTGGCTGTAGCACAGTTAAAATTAAGTCTGCTGAATTTTTTTTTTTTACAGATCACCATAAAAAGTAACAATTGTTAAATATCTGCCAATAGTATGACTAGTTTCTCTTAATCTGACCTTCCTGGTAAGCGGGATATTATGCTCAGCAAAAATCAGCCTCATATCTTGGACACTGGAATGTGACATGGGGCAAATCCTCAATAAATTGTTGATCACAGGAGGAGCTGTAGCTATCAAGATTCACTGGAAAAAGGCCTACAACAAAAGGCAGATCCAGGAGGGCAGCCATGTTAGTCTGAAGCAGTAGAACAAATTTTGAGTCCAGTGGCACCTTTAAGACCAACAAAGGTTTATTCAAGGTATGAGCTTCTGTGTGCATGCAGACTTTTTTAAATACACTGGAATGGAAGGTAACAGACTGGGGGGCTGTCTGTGTGCAAGAAAACAACTGTTGACCTTATAACCTTAGCTTGTTATTTAGTTTTGTCTTTGCATATCTTAAAACATCTTCATCATGTGACATGCTAATCTGCTGTTCAGCCTGTTCTATAAGTTTGAACTGTTACCTTCCATTCCAATGTATCTGAAAAAGTGTGCATGCACATGAAAGCTCACACCTTAAATAAACCTTTGTTGGTCTTAACAGTGCCACTTGACTCAACATTTGTTCTATAATAAAAGGTATGCACGTCCTATAATGGAAAGTGAACAATACCATACACACACTGGCCACCCCCGGTATTAATTCCTGAAGTGCCTCATAATCTAGCATTTCATAGAATATAATAAATGTATCAGGTGTTTATACTTTTACCATAGTTTCATCAGGTAACATGCAGTTCAAAAAGCATCTGCTCTCCATAATCCTTACCGTATGCAGTATGATTTGTACAGTTCTCAGGTTCCTGAGTGTCATTGTCTATTTTAGGATCATCACAAATATATGTTTGAATAATTAAGGGAAACAAATGTAAACAAATTCCTGAACAAGTGCCCAGCACTAGCATCACAGTAAGTTTTTCAGCAACCAGAAATTTTACATTGACCAATAGCCTTTTTCCTTCTCAACACACAAAACTTGCAGCTGTCCATACCACTGGAACAAACATTACATCTAAGGGCTTGGCTAGAAGACAAAAGAAACTGAAATGCTGCTGCTATTTTTGTACCCTTTTCCTCATTACTGCTCGATAAACAGAACACATGACATGATATCAGTACACTATTGTGGTGGTAGCCAATGATGTCAAGTGGAGAAAAGGCAGCAGAAACAGCACACCAGTAAGGAATAAATATGTATATTGCTCAGGGATTTCAAAACTTTATTCTAATACCTTTGACAGACTTTTCCCTCACAATCTGTGCTTAAAGGATATTCATGCTAATGTTGGGCACACATTTTCAACAGCATCAAAACATCTTCTCAAGAAATAGTCTATAATCTTCACCAATGATGTACTGACAACATATTTCTAAAAGATCTCATTTTATAAGGAGTAACAGCAATAGCCAAAAGACCAAAGTGGGCATGGCCAGAAAACTCAAACAACCATCATTTAATTACTCTACAACAATTCCTTTTTCATATAATAAAATCAGATCCAGGACATTCAAGAGTGGTTAATCTGCCTGACAAGATTCCTTATTCCAGAACAGTAAAACCCCAGAATATTACACCTTCACAGAACAGGCATGACAAATATTCATAACCTACACTTCCAAGTGTTCTTTTTATTTTAAATGGTTCCCAGATGTTTGAGATTTTTCAAAAACCAACAACGCAAAACCAGTAGCCCAGCAACAGTGGGGGGGGGGGGGGTTACATTAAATGTTCACTCCTAAACAGAGTCAATCCTCAATCCACTAAAGTCAATTCAGTCTTCCATTAAAGTTAGAGATCTTTCCAACTCATCTATTAGTCTCCCCCCCCCCTTACATGATCCTCCCATTAGGTTTAAACTAACCCTAAAAACCAAACACCGCTGGGCCTTTTGCAGCTGCACCACAGGCAGAAATTCAACAGGTGTCACTTTCCCTGTTACAGATGTTATGACCGCTAGCCTTTACCTCTTGAATTTTTGCTTGCTATGTGTCTTTTAAAATCGCAGGATAACTAGCGGGGTGGGGAGGGGAAGAGTAGCAAGCCTGTCTCCGTTGCAAAGCCTGTCACCATAGTAACCAGGTACTTTGCATTCTCACAGCTTCAGGATATTGGCCGACTCGAAGATCTTCACACTTCAAAGGCAAGTCACCTCCCTCCACACTCCGTGCCATGAGAACCGCCACCCAGACGGTTCCCAAGGACCAGAGAACTATCGTAGTCCCCTTCTTTCTCTTGATGCCTGACAACGGCTTCCCATGCCGGGCAGCCATATTAGACAACAGACACATTTGTCAGCTGACACCCTCGACCTATCGAAGAGCGTTGACGCCTCGTGAAAGAAACTAGAAGAGGAAGTGCTGGTCTCTCACGGAAACAGTCTTTTGCCCGTAACAAAGATGGCTCCAATGTCGTATGACTTTGAAGGTGACTGAAGGCAGAATGCGCCTCTCGGTGAAGAGATAGGAAGACTCTTGTTTATTTTCAGTAAGATTAGGAATGTCAGTAACAGTGCCTTAGAAAACAGGTTTGTCATTGTACTGGGAAGTATCAGATTACCTCTATTGTAAAGGGTAAACTCTCATACTGAATGTAATGGAATGTTTTATTCTGAAACACCAGTATTTCAAAATGCTTCTTAGAACACAAACACATGCCATACAGTTCCTGTTTTGAAATCTGCATCCTGCAACACTGCTTGTGAGTTAAAATATGTTTGGTTCTGTCTTAGAATATATTTGCTGGAGAAAAAACATTATCATCCCCTAAATAGGTTTCATTTCAACATACCGATGCCATTATTATATTTGTGTTTGTTTAACAAAGTATCTCTTTCAGAGAAAAATCTCTTTTGGTAAGCATTTTACTTTATTGGGACTGGATACTACTAAGAAAACACTACCTGTATAACATCACCAAATATTGTCAAAAGGCAGCAACCTGCAGAAATCAGCTGGTGAATCTTTTCATAGAATAATGTCCACCTCTAATGTTTGCACATCAAGCTACCATTAGAAGTACAGGAGCAGAGCTGGCAAAAAAAGTTGTCAGTTAAGTCAAATGGACTGCTTCACTTGCATCCATGGTTTACTTGTTTTGTACAATATTACACTGCTGAAATTAATCTGTATTAAAACGCATTAAAATATTTAAAAGTACCAAATTTTATTGAAATGATACTTTATTAAGAAGTTTGCATACAGTGTCCCAGTTTCAGTTTTACACTTTCATAACTTTCTGAATTGTTCTATAGTTGCATATATGGAAAACTTGCATGTGATTATCCACATGACTTTTCTAGGATTACTCAAGAATTCATTTTTTACAGGATGGTCTCCAAAAACCAGTTTGGGTGAGTATGAAACTTCTCACCTGATCCATCTGTCAGTGATCAGAAGCAAGATTGCTTATTTGCCCCCTGTCTATAAGACAGGGGCCGCAGTGGCTCAGACCAGAAGGTTGTAGTTCAGCAGTTCAAGACCCTAGTGCCGTGTGATGGAGTGAGCTCCCATCTCTGGCCCCAGCTCCTGCAAACCTAGCAGTTAGAAAGCAAGAAATTGCATGTAGATAAACAGGTACTGCTTCAGTGGGAAGGTAACAGTGTTCCGTGCACCTTGGTGTCTAGTCATGCCGGCCACATGTCCATGGAAACATTTTCAGACAGCGCTGGCTCTTCGGCTTGGAAACAGAGATGAGCACTGCCCCCTAGAGTCGACTAGCTTCTGACCAAGGGAACCTTTACCTTTACCTCTAAGGAGTGCTGGAATCCTATGTACATCTCTGTAAGAGTGAACCACAGTTAAAACAGTGGAACTTGCTTCCATATAAATATATTAAGGTTTATATCTACCAATTTCTGAAGAATTACGACTCAAGTAAAATAATGCTTGGCAAAGATTCTGATGACTTCCATAAACCAATAATCTGACTGTCTGAACTAACATCAGTAGAAAAGGGGAAGAGTCCAGTTGCAGCTTTCCAGTATGAGCTTTTGTGACTCAAGAAAGCTCATAAAAAGGTAAAGTTAAAGGTTCCCTTGCTCGAAAGCCAGTCGAGTTCGACATCTCCGTTTCAAAGCCGAAGAGCCAGCGCTATCCAAAGACGTTTCCGTGGTCATGTGGCCGGCATGACTAAACACCAAGGTGCACAGAACGCTGTTACCTTCCCACCAAAGTGGTACCTATTTATCTACTTGCAATTTCTTGCTTTCGAACTGCTAGGTTGGCAGGAGCTGGAACTAGAGATGGGAGCTCACTCTGTCATGCGACAACTCGGGTCTCGAACTGCTGAACTACTGACCTTCCACAGCCTGCAGTTCAGCGTCTTAACCACTTGAGCCACCGCAGCATACCTTGCCACATATTTTGTTAGTATTTAAGGTTCTACTGGCCTCTTGCTCTTTTCTGCTGCTACAGACAGACTAAGAAGGCTACCTGTCTTGAACTAACTTTTCTTTTTCTTATTGAGGAGTTTAAAAATCTTCCTCTAATCTTATCTGTTAAACAATATTAAACTTTTTTCTTTGCTTTCTCAGAAGTACACAGATGTATTTTTTTAAAACTTGACTAATTATATTTGTATGTTTGAGGCTTGGAATACTGCTGGTTTAATAAACAAAGGTAACTACACCAACCAAATTCTCCACCCTTCTCGAGAATGTATTTACACTTACCTCTCCGGCTCAATCCCTTTCTTTCCTCCTATTTACTTGAGATGAATCTATTTTATCACACAATGGGGGTTGGGGGGGGGGTTGGACGGACAACGGGTTTGCAGTGCGTTTCTCTCCAAACTCGTCTTAATTTGGCTACAATCCTATAGTCGGTCTTTCACAAGTGTGTTGCTGCCGGCCGCCCCGCCCCCTGGGCACCTAAATGAAAGGTAAGTAACCAAAGGCGAATGTTTCTAAAATTGGTGCCCTGGACTATGAGGATACGACTCTAGGACACGGAAGTCAAGGAAAGATTGCGTTTTGCCTGCTGATCCCTCATGCCGTTTCTGCCTGGATCTGCTTCCTTCAATGCACAGCAGCTCCCCTCCTGTCGGCTTCCTGTGTTGCAGGTGAGGTGCGGTCAAAATCTAAACTCCCGCTTCCGCCCAGGTGAGAGCAAGTGAGGCTCCGAGAGCGGTAGCTGGAGCAGCAGATCCCTCTCATGAACAGGTAAGAGTGTACCTTTCAAAACAGAAAAGAAAAGAAGGTGGCCCCCTTGCCTCTCCTCATGTGATTTATAGCCCTTCCGTAGAGGGAAAGAATCAGCGTGCCGCCAAGTACAAAAGCAGCAAGCTGGGCGTTTGCCTTGAGCCCGCCGTTTACTTCCTGTTTTATGTTTCATCGAAAACACTTCAGAGAACTTGTGCTTTGAACGGAACTTCTTTCCACAGCCCTTATCCGGCGTTTTAAGTTTGCGAAGTGTGCTGTTCTATACTCCCCGCCACTACTTTTGGTAGCTCGAACCAATATTTATTTCCAGATTTCCTTACTGCCTGGGCTTCCTCGTCTGGCCCACTTCTGATCAAGACAGGCGGTAGTCATAAAGTGGCTTATTTTGAAAGTCGGCCTGTGTCGGGTCCAGAGCAATAGTTGCAAATAAAACCCCAAGACTGTGTGAAATAGAAATCATGACGGAACTATTTTCGCTTCGATGCTGAACTGTAGTTCAGCTGGATTCGCTTCCGTTTAAAAATAACACTAGCCTTGTGTAGGTCCAGCTGGCAGTGCACCCTGGTGAAATAGTTGGCTCTTATTTTTCATTAGATGTGGTTAGGCTTGAGTTAGGGATGGGGGAGGGCACCTCTTTCGGGTAAGCACATGAGCCTAGTAAACCAGAGTGAAGGACAGCCTATCTGGAAACTGCATGATTCCAAGTGGGAGTACTACTGAATATTTCTTGAGTGTGGGTAGAATAATTCTGAGTTCTGTTTTGTGTTCTCATGCTTTCTAAGCACCGTGGATACAGTGAACAACTATACAAATTTTGTGGGGGGGTTTTCTTCACATACATGTAAAGTAATTCTTATGTTCATTGCATTCACTGTGTGTACTGATGATGAACATACAATTTAATACCCCATGTTTTTCTAAGTATCAGTGCACATCTGTATTTTTACAGTGAACACACATTTGCTGTTTCTTATGAAGAGGAATATGGATGTTCACTATCAACCTAACCTGCCTCACAGGGTTGTTGTGTGGATGAAACAGGAGAAAAGCATTGCTTTGGGTCTCCACTGGGGAGAAAGGCAGGATATAACTAAAGTAAATACTATAAACGAACATGTGCATGGGGGTACAGTCTAATGGGGATGGGATAAAGATGTGCTTTGACCTTGCAGCAGGATTGTGTATCTTTATACATGTTGAGGGGCTACATATCTTCCCTTTGGTATAAAACCTAGAGAAAATGAAGAAGAGGAGAAGAAAGTACAACATGTTTCTTTGCTGGGTTTTGAGTGTAAACTGGAGCCCCATATAAGACAGGATGTTAATATAGTATATATATGTTGTAAAATTCCTGTTTCATATTTGTTGCCTCTAATTTAAACATTAAATAGCTTTTAGGACTGGGTAGTCTATGAGAAGTATAGTAAAGTAAGGTTTGTCTGAAAAACCAAAAGAGCGTAACAACATGGTTCCATTGTCCAGGAGAAAAAGCAAATTTCTTGAAAACAGACCTTTTGGTTTTCCTTTTCTGCATTGTGGATTGTTGGAGTGTAGCATTCCTTTGTTATTTTTGATAAATCTGTGGGCTGTAGTTGGGTCTGAGGTATCCCAAAGGCCTCTAACAGTCTAAGGAGTGGTACAAATTGTATGAAATGTCTGATCTGTTACTGGAGCATACAGTCTGGGCTGGATAGAATGTATTAAGTCCAGTTAGTGCTATGAATAAGAAGTCTTCCTGGATAGAAGTTAGGTTTCCACTGAATGTGTAATCAAAGTTCTGAGTCAACAAATGTCATATTTTTTTGTATGCATTTCTTATGGAAGTATGTTTTTTCTGTTGAATGATAAATAATAGTGTTAAGGTATGCTCTGTAGAAGTTTCAGCCCACAAGATTTTGTAATATGTTTTTATTGTCTAGACTAGGTTTGATTGAGGGCATCACGTTCAGATAGGGTCATCAACTCCAAGCTGGGAAATCCTGAAGATTTGGGGGTGGAGCCTTTTTCCAAGGGAACAAATCTTTTTTGGTTTGGAGACCAGTTGTAATGCTGGTTGCTCTCCAGGCCCTACCTGGAAGTTGGTGATCCTACCTCCAGAACCTGTTGCAGGCGTAATCTTCGTGGGGGCGGCAGGGCGTGAGCCCCCGCCGAAATTTTCAGGAAGGTGCTCAGCCTCCCCCGGGAGCCACCCTTGCTCCTAGCAAAGCAATGCCTCTGGCCCAGCCCCAGCCCCCCCCCCCAGGAAATTGGAAAGTCTACACCCAGCACCATTGTGGCAGATGGCTAGATTTTTTTAAAAAAAATTACCATTCCTTTTTAATAATTCAAGGTAATAAAAAGCAATACATATTACTTAATATGGCTACAAAACTGATACAACAGTATCAAAACTGTAGGAATAAAAGATATAATTCCTTTCAGAACACACAGAATGCTTTTTCCTTGCCTTGAGAAAATATAACTACCTATCAAATTAGACAAGTGTGTCTTCCAGGGATACCAGGACTTCTCAATTTAGAAACTTAAATATTTGTCCCTCCCTAGTCACCTTGTGGGGCAACTTTCCTTCAAGAGAGCTTTTGGGGATCAATCTTTTCAGCATCACCCTACTTAACTTTTCTGTTAATTGAACCTATTTTAAATTCTGACTTCTCCCTGAATCTGAAACCAGTTAAGTGATGCTCCATCCATTAGAGCTTTTAGAGGAGTGCAATAAATTAACATTGCTTTAAAACTCTTGTAAAGCCTTGATCCAAGAGAGTTTGTCTATGATACTAGCTGCAGTTTTACATAGCAACAGTATTTAATAGTAGAGTCTAAATACTGAGTCAAGGTTCCATTATATCTTAACAACTTAACTGATACAGTTCTCTGTGAAGTGCCATATGGGTGTACAGAGATTTGCCTGAGGCATGGAGCAATGGCTAGAGATAAGTCTCCTTTGTAATAGCAGCATTGCCATAGTATCCAAGGAATTCCAATGAGATAGCATTGTGTTGTCCTTCTTTTCAAACACTAAGGAAGATACAGTCAAGTTTTGGAAAGTGAATGAGGCCACCAAAGTGGGAAGAAAATAATTGAGGTCAGTTGGCAGAGATCATAAACCACTGATAGTGCTTTGAAAAGTTATGGTATCATAGAATCATAGAGTTGGAAGGTAACTCCAGGGTCATCTAGTCCAACCCCCCGCACAATGCAGGAAAACCACAGATACCTTGCCTCCACACCTTCAGTGTGTTCCATGCCCAGAAGATGACAAAAACCCTCTAGGATCTCCAGCCAAACTGGCCTGGAGAAAAAGTGCTTCCTGACCCCAAAGTGATGATCAGCATTTCCCTGGGCATGTAAGAAAGGCGCACAGGAACTAAGCACTGATGCAACCCTTCCTGCCCACCCTCTCATGATCTGCCTAAGTTCACAGAATCAGCATTGCTGACAGATGGCCATCTAGCCTCTGTTTAAAAACCTCCAAAGGAGAGCTCACCACCTCCCGAGGAAGCCTGTTCCACTGTGGAGCCTCTCTAACTGTCAGGAAGTTCTTCCCAATGTTTAGCCAAAAACTCTTCTGATTTAATTTCAATCTGTCGGTTCTGGTCTGACTTTCTGGAGCAACAGAAAATGACTCCATACCACCCTCTATATGACAGCCCTTCAAGTACTTGAAGATAGTTATATCACCTCTCAGTCGTCTCCTCTCCAGGCTAAACATAACCAGCTCCTTCAACCTTTCCTCATAGGACTTGGTCTCCAGACCCCTCACCATCTTCATTGCCCTCCTCTGGACATGTTCCGGCTTGTCTGTATCCTTCTTAAACTGTGGTGTCCAAAACTGAACACAATACTCTAGGTGAGGTCTAACCAGAGCAGAATAAATCTATTGACATCAGTACAGTCCAGCTAAACATGGTTTTTATCTTATGTTTGTTTATATAGGCAAGCAGTGGCAAAACCACCTCTGAACAATCCTTGCCTTGAAAACCCTATGGGGTTACCATAAATCTTGGTGGCAAATTTTTTTTTACTAAAATGTGAGTCCTATTGAACTCAGTAGGACTTACCTCTTAATAAACATGATTAGGAGCATGCAATCAGTTCCTTAATATCAACGAGAGTTGCACTAATCATGAGTCATGATTGAGTTGCTCTGCCCCAAATATAGTGGAATCCTAAACAAAGTTATACCCTTCTAAGCTTGTTGACGTCAGTAGACCTAGAAGACTTAGAAGAGTGTACTGTCAGTTACTCTGTAGGGTTTTATGCAGCAACTTTAGATTTAGGGGAAAGGTACAGAATGGGCCAAGTATGTTTGAGTAATTTTGTACATTGAAGTAAAGCTAATTTAGACTTTTGTTTTCAAGCAGGTTTGTTTGACTGATTGCAACACTGACAAGCCATTATGCCAGAAAATCCTGCAGCAGGTAAATGCTTTGGAAAAAATTTCTTTGGTCAATGAATAAAATATTATTTGGCAGATTTTTAATTAGTGTGTGTGGTTTTTTTGTGGGGGGTATAACAGACAAGCTGCAGGTGTTGCAGATTCTGGAGCGTCTGCAAAGAAAGCTACACGAGAATGGAGACACTTCACAGACTGAGAAATTGACTATTTTGTACAATATACTCAGGAGTCCCTTATTTAATCAGATCCTGACTCTTCAGCAGTCAATCAAGCAACTGAAGGAACAAGTAAGTTATAAATTTGGTTTTGTTTGAAGGAAGTCAGTAGTATCCCTGAAGTATTTGTTCTTAGCAATATAATTACCTTGCAAAGTTTAAGTAAGGGCCCGTTCACATCATTTGTAATTCCTTTTGTAGTGTCATTTGGTAACTTATATGTGCAAAATTACTATTACTGTTACATCTTAGATTGTCACACTGTGCAGTTATCTAATGTTAGAAAGCAAACTGCAAAGTTCTCTTCCATTTAAACTTAATTTTTGAGTCTCTGTAAACTGAGCTTAATTTTATGCTTTAATTTTTATTAAATGCAGTTTAGTTTTTTTTATAATTCATCCTGCCTCAAGGCTTTTGACTACTCTTGACATGGTAAGCCATGACAGAGTGACTTTTCCAGTCAATTAAACATGAAAAAGTCACCTGTGGGATGAATGCCATGGGAATTGGTCCTGGGTTGGAGTGATTGTCACATCTTTGTCCACAGTAAGGTCTAAAGTTTTGATCAATGTGATTGCTGAGTATGGTCTTTAGCTCCCCTTTTTTCTTACAATAAAAAAGTATGAAACTTATTTATTTTTAATATGCCACCTGTTCAGCTGGCTCTGGGACCTGACAGTGTGCTATTGAAACATACTCAACTAAAGGTTAACCCATATATAATATTAAATATTATTAATGTTCATGATACACAACATCAAATGTTGCTTATAATAGGAATTAAACCGTGAATATGGTATGATTTCTCATGTACATCTCCAAATGTAGATTGTCAACTGGATTGTCATAGCTAAAATTCTGGTCAGAAACTGGCCTGCCATGTTGTCTAGGAAATATGTCGTCCAGATATATAGGAAGTTAGAAATAGCTATTTGATCCACTGTCTTTCCCAAAAGTGCAAGCCTGAAGACAATGTGATGGCTGATGCCTTTCAAAAGGCAGACAATAATAACCTTATTAAAGGCCTTGCAGATTCTAGCTTATGTAGGGATGTGCTTTCTCTTCCAACAAACATTTTCATCTTTTCACTAATAAAAATTCAGATTAAACTGTACACAATTTGATTTGGTGGAACAACCTTTAAGTAGAAAGGGCTAAAGAGTTTTGACACACTGAATATTCTGAAATGTCCTCTTTGCCTGTATGTAAAACACAGCTGATGTAGGAAAACAAAAAAATAAAATAAAATTAGGGATAATTAATATGATGGGGGGAAATGTGAAGGGGAAAGCATGCAAGTTTTTAGAGATGTGTCCTGTCTTATGCCCTAGGAATGTGACTCCTTTTCCAGCCTTCTTGCACTTGTCTAGGATCTTTCTTTGGGATTCTCTTATATGGTTGCTCTTGAGATAACACCCCCAGTGTGCAATTACAGGTGCTAACTGATTTATAAGGGTACTTGAAAAAGAAAAATAGTGTTTAAAATACAGCAAGGGCACCCATTTTTTTCATTGCTTTCTGAAATATCCAGACAATTCAATATGTTGTGTTCCTTATGTAGTAGATTAATTATACGTGAACATTTTGCCTTGCTGTCCACAGCTCAGTTATATGCCTCCAGATCGTTCAGTGGATTTTGACTTTACTAGGAGAGGTTTGTTGGTGTTTGATGCTGACCACCGTTCTCTTGATATTAATAACCTTTATGTGACTTGCAACAATAATAATTTACCAGTATCCAAGATGCCTCCTCTGATGCCCAAATTGGCAGTGGACGAGTTTAATTTTGCAATCCAAAGGATGGCCAAGGTAAGGGTACAGTACTGTCAGTACACCAAAGATGTAATTCTGGATCCCTTAATGCCAAATTTCTTTGGCTGCTAAATTGACATATATAACGTAGCATGGAAAAATACTAAATAATGGAATATAGTCTAAATATCAGGTTCTCACCAAACCTTGAGTTCATGATATCCTGTGGAACTCCTAAATATCATTGAGATACTCCCCAGGAAGAATGTTGCCATTTTGATAACAGATTGCTCAGTTATATGCAATTATTTTATGTGAGGACATAAAGTAGAGAAGAGTCTTGCAGTCAAAAAAATCGTCCTGATTTTATTCGTTTTAATTGTTTTACATCTCTATGTTAGCCGCCCTGAGCCTGCCTTGGCGGGGAAGGCGGGGTATAAATTAAACAAATAAAGAATAAATAATACTCAGCCTCTTTCCAGTCAGAAACTGATTGATCAGACCACGAATTTGTTCTTTGTCCTAGCCACGAGGTCTCAAGACCTTTACTGTGCTAAACATATGAATTTGTTCATGCATAGCTTCATCAAAGGAAAAACAGTGTTTTGCAGTTGTATGTAAAGATTATTTAAACAACTTATTTGTAGTATTCATGTTTTTTCTCTCCTTATTAGGGACGGCAAATAGAATATATAGATATTGAGAAGCCATTTAGTGGAGGTCTTGGATTTAGTGTTGTTACCTTTAAAAACCAAAGCACTGGAGAAGCTGGTATCTTTGTCAAGGAAATCCAGCCAGGAAGTATAGCAGCCAGGTGAGGGTTTTTTGTATGCCTTTCAGCCCAATTAGGGTTCTCAATGTGGCAAACAATGAAAAGAGAATAAAAATCAGTATTGCCAAGACATTTCACAATATATTGAGTGAAGGGTATGGGAATTGGGTGGATTTTTTTACTTGATTAATTTTCCTCTGCATGATGAATCACACAACCTTAAAGCTGAAGGACATCACAAGTTTGGCTTGTCCAACTTCCTCCTGGCAAGGCAGGACCACCAGCCTACCCACAGATCAGCTTAAGCAAACTGGACATCACAGAAGCAGTAAGCAGATGCGTTGCAAAAACAGCCTGCTCTGCACATGCAAGCAAAAACTTTAAAAATACTGTCTAGTGTTTACATAGCCCTTCAGCACTTGGAGAGCGTCACAATGCATTGTGTCACAACAACACTGATGGGGCTCATTATTATCACCCTCCATGTTTTGTATGATGAGTTGGGGCAAAGAGAGAGAGTAGCTTGTCTGCAGGCCCACTTGAGTTTATGACCATGATGAGAGACAGTGACTTCACCTCAGTAGTGCACACTTTTATCCACTGTGCTGCACTAGCCAAGCTGTAGGAGAAGGCAACTTATAGTTGTAGGGGTTAGAGTGTCTGAGTAGGTCCAGGAAGACTTGGGTTCAGAACTGCCATGAAGTTCACCAGGTGACCTTAGGCTGATATAGCATGACTGGTCTAACTTTATCTTGCAGTTACTGTACAGGGTTACTGTGAGGATAAAAGGAACAGAAGGCACCCTGTATATGTTGTCCCTGTTTACACCATTTAATCTTTTCAAATTTGTTATGAGGTTGCTGCAGTGCTTCTTAAATGTTTTCTATGCTTTATTAATGAAGGGACCAAAGGTTAAAGGAAAATGACCAGATACTGGCCATTAATCATACTCCACTGGACCAGAATATATCCCATCAACAAGCAATTGTGCTGCTCCAACAGTTCATGGGTTCCTTACATTTGGTTGTGGCTAGAGAGCTAACTCAAAGAAGCAGTAGGACCTCATCTGCCTTCAGTGACAATAATTTGCCTGAGATGGTAAGTTCTAGTTCTGTTTGACTAAGTTATTTTTCATTATAAGAGTTAAGCGCAATGAAGAATATTTACATGCTTGACAATTTTCACTACCTGAATTAACTTATCTTTTCCACCCAGATGATACAAAGATCAAATCGAACATACAGTAAAGCACATTCCCATTTGTATCATTTTTGCAACATTTTTTAAATGCCCTCCCCCTTGAGATAGTTGGAGCAAAGACAATGGAGCAACTGACCATATTTAAAGCTAGTTTTGGGTGGTCAGCCGTGTTTGTCTGAAGCAGTAGAACAAATTTAGAGTTCAGTGGCACCTTTAAGACCAGCAAAGATTTATTCAAGGTATGAGCTTTCATGTGCATGCACACTTTTTCAAATATGTTGGAATAGAAAGTAAGAATTCAAACTTATAGACAGACAGATGATGAATGTGATTAGCATGTAACATGACAAAGATGTTTTAAGATATGCAAAGACAAAACTAAACAACAAGCTAAGGTTATAAGGTTGTTTTGATTTAATTAAGAGGGGGGAACAGTAAAGCAATAAATATGTCAGAATAGGAGATAAATGTGTAAAGGTATCTTTTCTCATTGTGGGACAACTGAGACTCTTCATTTGTCTCCTCTCAGGCCTGGAGGTAACTTTACAGCATTTTTTTCTTCTTTGAAGTGGATGCAGTGTTCTATCAGCAAAACATTCCAATATTCCTTGCATTATGTTCAGTATTCTAATATACTATTCTGACAAAGAAATATACTAAAATACAGAGGACGTATAGTCCTTTTTGTTGAGGATACGTATGTGAGGACTGAATGAGTTGGCATATGTAATGAGATAAAAAACCAATATCCCTGTTGAGTCCTGGGGAGGTTTTTGTTCCAAGTGTTATAATAATTTGTAATTGAGCAATTTCCCTTTCCATTCTGTTCCTGAAGTTCCTTTGTCATAAAACAGCTACTTTGAGGTCACCCATTGAATGTCCTGGAAAGCTGAAGTGTTCTCATACAGGTTTCTCAGTCTTGTGATTCCTGGTGTCAGATTTGTGTCCATTTATCCTCTGGCGTATGTTTGCCCTATGTAGAGAACAGAAGGGCATTGTTGGCATTTAATGTCATATACAATGTTAGAAGATGAGCAAGTGAATGAGCCGCTGATGGTGTAGTTGATGTTGTTAGGTCCAGTGATTGTGTTGTCTGGGTGTATAAGGCAGCAAAGTTGGCATCTAGGTTTATTGCAAGCTCTGGTTCCAGTGTCCATGTTCAAATGAGATGTTGCCTTATTGTGGGTGAGGAGTTGTTTGAGACAGGGGGCTGTCTGTGCACAAGAAAAAGTTTGCCCCCCAGTACTTGTGAAAGAGCTGTCATTATCCAGTAGAGGTTGTAAGTCACTGATGATGTGTTGAACTGTTTTGAGCTGAGAGCTGTATGTGACCACTAGTGTCTTGTAATTGATTTTCTCTGGGTACCATTCTGGCTTTGTTAATCTGTTTCCTGACTTCATCAAGTGGATACCTTCATTCCAAAAAGATGTGTTGTAGATCCCTCAGATGAGGATCTCTGTTTGTAGGATTGGAGCAGATGTGGCTGTAGTGTAGAGCCTTGTTGTATACAAGGACCATTTGGTATATTTAGGATGGTAGCAGGAGGCATGTAGGTATGTGAGAGCCAGTTTGGTGTAGAGGTTAAGAGTGTTGACTCTAATCTGGTAGAACCAGGTTTGATTCCTACTCCTCCACATGCAGCTGCTGGTGTGACCTTGGGTCAGTCATAAGTTCTTTCAGAGCTGTTCTCTCAAGGGCAGTTCTTGGGAGAGCTCTCTCAGCCCCACCTACCTCACAGGGTGTCTGTTGTGGGAAGGGGAAGGGATTGTAAGCTGCTCTGAGACTCCTTCAGGTAGTGAAGGGCAGGGTGGAAATCCAATCTGTTCTCTTCTCTTTTCTCTTCTGTGTTTGTTGGTCAGAAGGTTTCCAGTATAAGGTGGTGTCTATGCGTCCATTGTGTACTTTTACAGTACTGTCCAGAAAATGTATTTCTTGCATTATCAGGTTGATGGTGGGGTGAAAATAGATGAATGCCTGGTGGAATGTGTCCAGGGCTTCTTTACCATATGTCCAGACAATAAAAATGTAATCAATGTAATGCAGGTATAATAGAAGTGTGAATGAGTGGGAGTTTAGGAAGCGTTGCTCCAAGTCAGCCATAAAGATGTTAGCATACTGTGGGCCCATGCAGGTGCCCATGGCTGTACCATTGATCTGGAGGAATAGGTTGTCACCAAATCTGAAGCGTTTATGGGTGAGAACAAAATGGCACAGTTTGGTGGCAAAGTTAGCTGTGTTGCTGTCAGAAATCATATTCCTTATCGCTTGTAATCTGTCTTTGTGTGGGATGTTGGTATACAGAGATTCCACATCCATGGTGGCTAAAATAGTATTCTCTGGAAAGTTGTTCAAAGATTGTATTTTCCTTAGAAAGTCTGTGGTTTCGCGAACATAACTAGGAGCATTAATGGTATAGGGTCTTAGAACAGAGTCCATGTATCCAGATACCCCCATGGAGATAGTGCCTATGCCTGGGACAATGGGGCATCCTGGGTTGCCTGGTTTGTATATTTTGGGTAGAAGATAAAAGGTACCTGGTCAAGGTTCTGGTGGTGCATCTGAAAGGATTAGTTCCCAAATGTGCAGTGGTAAATTCTTTATAATCTTGTATAGCTCTTTTTTGTATTCTTGTGTGGGGCCTGAGTCCAGTTGTTTGTAAAAAGCAGTATTTGAGAGTTGTCTTTGAGCCTCCTGGATGTAGTCTGATCTATAATGATCTATAATAAAGGAAACCTTTGTCTGGCCCCGGTCACACGGAGCATTAGGCACGCTAGAGAGACGGAAGATAGGCAGATTTTCCGGGCGTGATCTCACCGCCACATCTGGGAAGCATAGAGCTCCCATGGCACACCCGAGGCTTCCCGCCGAAGAGGCGGGGTAAAAAACTAGTACCTCGGAGGTACTAGTTTCCGGAAACCGCGGGGCAAGGGCGGGCGTCTGATCGGGTTTCCGGTGGTAGTTCTGGCGCCCGCCCATGTCCCCTCGCAAAAAGGTTCTTTTTTCCCAAGTCTCCACGGATGCGCACAAGCACCCAACGGAGCATGCGCACATTTCAGTTTTTAAAAACCCCCAAACCCCGTTTGCCGCGCCGCTCCGCTTCTTTGCCGCGTTGTGTGATCGGCTCCTCCCCCCTAACCACGGGAGCTCGACGGATCCTCAACCCGACGCCTGATCGCGCAGTCGCGCGTTAGTTTGCTCTGGGGCAAACAGCCATGCCTCCCCCCCCGCATTTTCCTGCCCTTGTGGCCGAGGCCTCCGTTTCTTTAATTATAATATCCTGATTGTTTCTGAGATTGTCTATGGCATTCCTTTCAGCATGGTTGAGATTCTGCTGTATGTGATGTTTCTACTCTGTGGCAAAAGCATTCTGTTTAAAGATCCGGTGTGGTATTGTGACCATCAGGAGGGTTCCAGGTGGAGTCTTAGCTCATACATTGGATAAATCTTTGTTGGTTTTAAAGGTGCCACTGGATTTCATATATAAAGCTGTGATACTCTTAAGCAGCAGGCATGTGCCTCTGAAGTAATCTGCAGTAAGGCATAATAGACTTGTAAACATGCTGTAAACCGCTAATCGTTGCTGAGTTCAAATACAGTTCTTAGTCTTTATTCTATAATTCTCTCTATGCTCTGATAATTGTAGCAAGCATGCCCATTTCTGAAGAAAACTGATGGTTATCCTGTGTGGCTGGCTGTGGGATTAGATCGAAGGAGCATGTATATAGGAATCAAAACCGGCAAAAAACAAAACAAAACCCTCCCAGAATCAAATGAGGGGAGCTTGATGTTATATATTGTGGCACAATCAAGATGTGTGTATGTGGAGAGAGATGTCAAACTCATTTGTCACAAGAGCCAGATCTGACATAAATGTTACTTTGTCGAGCCAGGCCATGTGTGCCATAAAGTGTAACACTAGGTACTGGAGATATAAACTTTATAAAGATGATTCCAGATGCTGAATGGCAATAGCAATAGCAGGCGTAATTGGATTAGGTGTGATATGCAGAGGGGTAGTAGGCGTGGAGGTATCAGCACTGGTAATGAGACAGGAAACCTAGGTCTCAATTTGGTACAGAAACTCTTACTCTTACTCTTTCTACTGCTATTAGAAACCACAACATTCAAAAACCAGCGGGGGAACATTTTAACCTTCCAGGACATTCAGTTGCTGGCCTAAGAGTAGCAGTTCTCTTACGAAGCAATTTCAAAGAGCGATTAGAAAGAGAGACTGCTGAATTGTAACTGGTAAGCTCAAGACAATGCAAACTCCTGGTCTGAATTGAGATTTAGGTTTCTTCTCTCATTACCAATGCCTGTTATTTGTCATTTGGCGTCTGAAATCACTTCACTATTCAAGATATAATAACAGATGGACTCAAATTCTAGCTGTATCTGAAGAAGTGAGCACTGACTCACGAAAGTTCCTATCCTGCCACAAATTTTGTTAGTTATTAAGGTGCTCAGCCAATCAAAGAAAGGCTTTCTCTCTCTCCTCCGCCAATCAGGAAATAAGAGAGACTGGGGAAAAGGAGCTGCAATGCGAGAAACAGAAAGGAGGATGCAGCAGACAGCCAATTGCTCACAGGCTGGATAGAAGCCCCGCAGGGCTGTAGGCTTTTGGGCTGTAGGTTTGACACCCCTGTTTTAAACAGATATACTGTGATAACTGCGTATATCCTTATTTTGAAGGATGCTTCTCAGTTTGAGGGCTGCTGGTTTCTGCTGATTTGACCAGATCTTTCAGTAACAAAATTTTCCTATAAGAGAGGCTACAGATTCTGTACTGGACTTTACAAATCTTAATGTGAGAATGAAGGATTCTGTGCGTCTTGGTGCCCATCTCAGACTTACAGGCTTTAGCTTTCAGGAAGTATTTCCCTTTTCTGTTTCCTATGATTGGGTGGATCACATTATCAACCTTTTATTCGTTCTCCACTTCCCTCCCTCTTTTTTTTTTGCCACACCTTTGATGGCTTGGTATGACCAGTAATTGGACAACAGATACTAGGAGCAGTAGCCTTATTTTTCACATCCATCATATCCTTATGGTACTTACAGCTTTGTTGCTGTACTAAACTGCTTATAACTAACAAAATAGGGTTTCATGAAACAAATGTTGGCTGAACTTCATAATTTGATAACTGGTTTTATATATCATTGTTATATGTGGATTGTCTTATTTGCTTATTAGTCATATCTTGCAGCTGAGATGGGGACAAGATTTATTTCATACATGGAGTTGCTTCATCAGTCCATTGCTAGATCTACAATCATTGGCTTAATAATTGATCATATGTTGAAAAAGAATTCTTGGAAGCAGCCTTAGATTAGATATTTTATTCTTTTTTATTATTATACTAAAGTTCATCAAATTTGAAGTTTTTAAAGGATAATCAATATTGGTTATTGGTCTGTGAATTTAAAGAATTAAAATTTTAATTGCTTTTTCATTACAGAATATGTCCTGAACAGCCTGACAAAATAAAACACACACATTCTGTACAGATGGTTTTAAAACTTCTTTTATGATTAATTTCATGAAGAGATCTTTCAGTGCACATATTTTTAGTCACAGAAAACTTGTCTCAGAAAGTTCGCGTACATTCTTGCTGTTTTTTTGCAGGACACCAATCAACCAAGTTAAATAGCTGAGAGAGATATTTCTCATTTAGTCTGGTAAAACTTACATTATACTGTTCATTCAGTATATTGGAAGAAAGAACAGTAGCAGAACCATGAACAAAACTGTTATGCTGTTAAACTTCTCATCTGTAGGGGTGAGCCGGGAAGAAACCCTATTTGTCACTTTGTGCCATTAAATAGTCAGTGCTAGAGCTTCACACCCTAGCCACCATCTTAAAGGTTAGAGAGAGAGAGAGAGAGAGAGAGAGCGCGCAGTGCATTGACTTTTACTGCTGTAATGGTGGTTGCTTTTTAAAATGGCAGCTCAGTGCTGAAAAATCAAAGGGTAAATGAAATGGAACATGGGCTGTCCAAATGCATTGTATTTTTCTGAGTAGGGCTGCCTGTGTTGGTCTAATTTTTATTGATCTGAAACTCAAGATTATTTTAAACTCTGCACATCTTATAGTCATAGCTATTTATTTTATATTTCAGAAATGGGAAAACTATGGTCTTCCTGCTGTTCTCATTGTAGTCTTTAGGAGAAGATTTTATGCCCATGTTTCATGGCTTAAAGCTTCCAGGCTACTGAGTCTGTCAGAAGAAGTGCAGGCTACAAATTTAATAAATAAAATGTTAAATTGTAGCATTTTCAGCAGTATTTTATTCAGTATTTCCAGTAAGTTTTCCTCTGGTAATGCAGGGTTCCCCAACATGATGCCTGTGAGCACAATGATGCCTCTCCAGCATCTTTCCTGGAACTTGACAAGTTTTTTTAGACAGTGGGTGGGGCTTTTTGAGTTTTGATGTATGTTATAATGAACACTATGGCTTTATGTAAAGTAGACATAATGCTGGTGACCCTTGCTTAGGCGGTGAGTGAATTTATGCTCGCCCGTGGAGCCTAATGGACCATGGTAGGTTCCAGGAAGCTCTGCAGGATCTGATTCCCCTTGACAGCCCATTGGATGAGCTAGTGGAAGACTGGCAGAGCTGCCTTTCTGAAGCCATTGATGAGGTCACTCTCTAGCACCCTCTTCGCCGTCACACCAAATTGGCTCCATGGTACTCTCAGGAGCTAAGGCAGATGAAGTGGGAGTTAGACAGCTAGAGAGAGGGTGGCAATGAGCCCACAACGAAGCAACAAGAATATTATATAGATCCTTTATGAAAACCTATGAGATAGCAGTGAAGTCGCCAAAGAAGGATTTCTATGCGGCCTCCATTGCGTCTACAAGCTCTTGCCCGGCCCAATTATTTAGAATAATTCGATCTTTAACTAATTTGCCTCAGGGAATGCCAAATGTTAGGGAATTGGACATAGGCTATGAGGCATTTGTGTGCCATTTTGCAGATAAAATCTTGCTGCCCCACCGTGATCTTCCAGACACACTTGATACAATAAGAGAACTGGAAGCCCTTTGTCTGGCTTCAGGTCCAGTTTTAGACCACTTCAGTCTGCTCTCCCAGGATGATGTTGACAAGATCCTTGCAGCTGTAAAACCCACCACATGCCCCCTCGATTCCAGCCCATTGTGGCTGGTTAAAGCCTGTGGCAATGAAGTGCAGATCCCCCTGAGGGAGATTATCAACTTATCCCTATCAACAGGGACATTTCCAAAGGGTTTGAAGGAGGCGGTGGTCCGCCCTCTTCTTTAAAAATGATCTTTGGACCCTATGGTCCTCTACTACAACTGCCCAGTATCCAACTTGCTGTTCCTGGGTAAGGTGATTGAGAGGGCAGTGGCAACACAGCTCCAGGCTTTCTTGGAGAATGCTAACAAACTGGATCCCTTCCAGTCTGGCTTTTACCCTGCCCATGGGATGGAGACAGTGTTGGTTGCCTTGATGGATGACATCCAGAGACATCTGGATCGAGGTGGATCAGCAGTGCTGATAGTCCTTGAACTGTCTGCGGCATTCAGTATGGTTGACTGACGTCTTGACCCACCGCCTCACTGACATGAGGCTACGGGGGCTTGCCTTGTGATAGCTGGCCTCCTTTCTCTGAGGTTGGGGACAGAGGGTGGTGCTTAGGGGAGAATTATCTCAGCAACACCCAGTAAAATGTGGTGTGCCACACGGAGTGATTCTTCTCCCAGTATTATTTAATATCTATATGCGCCCCCTCACCCAGATTCTCTGGAGGTATGGGCTGGGTTGTCACGAATATGTGGATGACACCCAGCTCTACCTACTGATGGATGGCCACCCGAACTCTGTTGCTGGATGGTTGCAACAGAGCAGACTGAAACTGAATCCATCAAAGACAGAGGTCCTGCACCTGAGTCGCGGAGGACTGGGATTGGGAATTAGGCTTCCATCTTTTGATGGGCACCATTGGAGCAAGGGTAAAGAGTCTGGGGGTGGTCCTGGATGCCTCACTGACTATGGTGGCCCAGATCACCGCCACTGCTAGGTGTGCCTTTTTCCACCTGAGGTGGATCAAGTAGTTGGTCCCATATCTCAGCCCATGTGAACTAGCTACAGTGACCCATGCAGTGGTCACTTCCAGGCTGGATTATTGTAACTCTCTCTCCGTGGGGCTATCTTTGATCCTTCTCCAGAACTGCGCTGGCTGCCTATTGTGTCCTGGATCCAGTTCAAGGGGCTGGTACTTACCTTTAAATCCCTACATGGCCAGGGGCCAGCATACCTTCGGGATCGCCTCTCCCCATATGAACCCCTCAGGAACTTATGATCTATTAATCAATACCTCCTGGTGGTTCCTGGCCCCAGGGATGTCCTACTTGCCTCAACGAGGGCCAGGGCTTTTTAGCCCTGGCTCCTACCTGATGGAATGAGCTATTAGAAACCAGGGCCCTGTGGGACCTATTACAGTTCTGCAGGGCCTGCAAGACAGAGCTCTTCCTCCAGGCTTTCAGTTGAGGCAGCGGGTTTTGTTGTTGTTCAGTCACACAGCCGAGTCAGACTCTTTGCGACCCCCATGGACCAGATCCCGCCAGGCCCTCCTGTCTTCCGCTGTTCTCTGAAGTTGGCTCAACTTCATGTTCATTGCATCTATGACACTGTCTAACCATCTCATCCTTTGCCGTCCCCATCTTCTTTGACCTTCAATCTTTCCCAGCATCAGGGTCTTCTCCAGTGAGTGCTCCCTTCTCATTTGGGAGCCAAAGTATTTGAGCTTCAGTTTCATTATCTGGCCTTCCAGGGAACAGTCAGGGTTGATTTCTTTTAGGATTGACTGGTTTGACCTTCTTGCAGTCCAAGGAACTCTCAAGAGTCTTCTCCAGCACCATCGTTCAAAAGGGGGGAAAAAGCAGCGGGTGGTCACCTGCTATTGGCCTCCCCTCAGACCTGGGAACAAACTGCTTCTTACTGAAATCTGTTGAGACACCAGTCTTTTATTGAATATTGTTTTTAGATAGGTTTAACTGTCAGTTTGTTGTATTGTGAATTTTATGATGGAACCCACCCTGAGCTCACTTGTGGGGAGGGTGGGATACAAATAGAATTAAATGAGTAAATGAATAAATTGTTAGTTCTTGGAACACATAAAAGTATTGTGAAGAAAAATCATTGTGAAAAAGCATTTCATGTTATATTATTTTTCAGATCAAATGGGGTCATATTGAAGATGTTGAACTTGTTAATGACGGCTCGGGATTAGGTTTTGGAATTGTAGGCGGGAAATCAATTGGTGTAGTGGTACGGACTATTGTTCCTGGTGGATTGGCAGATAAGGTAAAAATGTTGCACTATGTCAATTCTTATTCTGTTTTCTCCATGACTGGTGGATATGTTACAACTATTAAACTACAGCATTGTCTTCTAAGAATAATGGCGGAGGGAATGATTTGAGGAGCATCACCATGTCTGAATAGCCAATGTATTACTCAGGGTTCTAGCTTTTGGCTTTAAGTGCCCAGCACATCTGTATGTGGAAATAATTATGAAAATAATGTGTATGCAAAAAAAGTGCATAAGGAAATAGTTCAGAACATAGTGTATGTTAAACTTGTTGATGAAAGGAGTATGTGTGGAAATATACACACATTTTGTTAAACACACATACACACATATATAAAAACTTGTAACTGCATACTATGTCATTTGTACTCAAATTTTGATGATATGAATATATATAGAATATTGTTTACAGTGAAGGGCATTTTGCATTTTGGAAGTACTACCAAAGAACCAATTAGAAGCATGACTCTTCAGGCCTGGTCTTGCCTCTCTCATCAGATCATGGCAGCAATGAAGAAAGGTTTTGGGGGAAGAAGGTGGGAGATTAGTTATACCCACATCTTTCCACTTCTTAGTGTCTTAGTGTCTCTGCTGCTGTTAGGAAGTAAATGGCTCTTACTCCATCATGCCAATTTCAGGCAGTGGTTGGGTTGTGAAGAGCTTTCTGTCCTGCCATCTCCATCATCAAAATGTGAGAAATAATCATGGCTATACCAAGCTGTCCAGTTCTGGCCTTGCCCCATACTCAGCCGCGGCTGCCCTTGTGTTTATCAGACAGCATTCTCTGTGTGTCTGCCTTGAGTTTATTTATAAAATAGAGCAGAACCTGCTAACTTGTCTTTAAACGCTTAATCTTTCAAACTTCTATCAATAACAATACATTCGATTATCATTCAGCGCTAAGCAAAAGATCTCTAAGCTTTCCTATCAAAAATCTCTATTTCCATTTTTAACAATTTCCATGCATGTCCATCATTTTACACTCCTGCTACAGTGGTGGATTAAAACTCACTCTTTTAACTCTGTTGCCAAGTGAGATCCTGTTTCTAATCATATTTTGGTGAAAGTCTGCAGAGCAACTTAAAAGCAAATGACTATACAGTGCAGTGTATTTATTTATTTATTTATTTATCAAATGTATACCCCGCCCTCCCCCGTGTGTGAGCAGCATGAGACTTTTTCAGTAGCACTACATTAAAATCCACATAGTTGCTGTTCTGTTCAATAGCACCGTTTTTATAAGAAGTCTCAAGGCTAAAGGTGTGTGTTGCAATAGTTTCCTACTAAAAACAATGTGACTCTTTTTTTTTTCTTATGAAATAATTGAGACCTCCTGAGTAAAAGTGCCTGATGGCTTGTATGGTTAAATTTTAATCATTTTAAAGAAACATGGTACTTAATATTTGGTATTTTTCAAAATAACTTATGTTGCTACACTGATTAATTTGATGGCATTTTGCATGGAGTGGGTGCCTTGTGAAAGCAGGAAAAATATATCGTTATAGTCTGGCAATATATTATTTTGTTTCAGTTACTAATTTTAACTTGGGAAAACTATATTTCTTACTTGAAGGATGGGAGGCTCAGAACTGGTGATCACATCTTGGAAATTGGAGGCACTAATGTACAAGGAATGAGCAGTGAGCAGGTTGCTCAAGTGTTGAGGAACTGTGGGAACTATGTTAGGATGGTTGTTGCAAGAGATCCAATGTGTGAAATAAGTGTGACGCCACCAACCCCTTTGGCTCAGCCTGTTGGAATGTTGACCCCTTTTCAGGACACAGTGAGTATCATAATGCTAGTTAATTATATTGTTAATTAAATTCCAAGCACATGACAACTGTAGATTCCATGTGGATTGCATGATTACACAGTTTTTGGTTCCTCAAATCTCAATAAAACGTCCAATCCAAAAGATATCTTACCCTTTCTGTAATCAGTGCACTACAAAGAGTCATATTCCTTTTTAGTCTCCTGTATCCCACGCTGAAAGATTCTTCATTTCTTACATCTGATCTCTTCATTTTCCATTGCTGTTCCAGGCCTGGCTACCTCATCTTTGTGACTGCATGTGGGTGGAGTGGGTGTAGTCACTTAATTGATCCCCACAGTTTTCCCAGTCTTTGTGGGGAAAGGTCTAATCTGATGATTGTACTTACGTTTAGGTATTTGTTAAAATAGAATAAATCTTAAGTACTATTACCACTGCACCACCAGAATTGCATAATTTCAAGCTCCAAAGGTAACCCAAATAAAAATATTCTACAATTTTTTTAAAAAAAAATGTTAGAAATTAAGCCTTCAGTAGGTTAAGAACCTGATACTGGCTTGTTTTTCCTGTCTAAATATTTGAAGTAGATGATAAAGTTCTGATGTCTTTGTAGTCTACATTAATATTTGCTGGTAAAATCTTGCTTTTACAAATTCAATTGTGGCCATATTCAGATGTCTGTGTAAAAAAAGCTTTTCTCAGTTTTGAGTAATTAAAACCAGCAACTGCTACCCAAAGTATGCAGGAGGTCTTGGGATGTAAGCAAAGCTGTGCTTGTGCTCCATCTGTTGCTACTGTGCTTTTTCAATGTAGGTACGGAATATTTTCAGTGGCCTCTTTTTTCCTCTTCAATTACAGCTAAAATTTTGTGGTAGAAGCAATATATATTTGTGTATATGTATTCCATGTATGTATAAGGCAGGTAGTGCCTATAGTGTATTGTCCCTCCTGACTTACCACGCCTTTTAGCCAGAGCAGTTTCTACTTCCACTTAAGTTTGACTCTTGCAGTTTCCCAAACCTAGAGGAGATGTGGCATGATTTTTTACCCGAAGCCTTCACAATGAAGAACTACATAGGTGCTTCACATTCCAAAGTGCACAAAAAGGAAGCACTGGGTGCTAAGAGAAGCAGCGTGCACCCATGAAGTGTGTTTGGAAAGGAGTCCACTTGCTCTGAGGTTCAGTTGACCAGAAATCTTAGTCTGCTATCAGCAGAAAGGAAGTCACTTTGGGTGGGGGGGCACAAAGCAGCTATACTGTATATTCTGTATGTGCCTCATGTGATAACATAGTAATATTGTCCAACACATTCAGCCAGATGTGTGGTATTCCACTAGCCTGAAGAAATTAACAATAGTAGTTACTATCTGTGGTGTTCCTGTAAGATGAATCTGGAGCAAAGTTCTCCAACATCTCATCAGAGATTTACCAGCAGATTTTTCCATATAAGGGAAAGGAGAGACTGCTTCTTTCACTGCAAACGTACTGATTACCAGTGCAATCAGATGCGATTACAAGTTATTTGTGGAGCTGAAGTACCAGTGTCAAGTGTTCTATGGGACCTTTGTGGCTGTTGGTTGTTCAAGGCCATTGCACTATTCTTTTTGGCCTGACTGGTTTGAGTGTATCATATTCTCAGGCATCTACCATGTTGATGACTAATATTCAACAATGGGTGATAGACCTGAACTCCAAAGGCTTTGTCACCACAGTAGATTTTAAAGAGAGTTTTAAAAGGCTGTGGCAACACTTTGGCCAGACTGTGTCACCAGTGAAGCTACCTGTTGGTTTTATCTCTTCTGTGTGGCTTCATGATACTTAAATCCCCTAAGCCTTTTGGAGTCTAAGGTTAATCTGTACCCTAGCTAGCTATGCAGTGAAACAGCCATCATGATCACTTTTTCTAGTGGCAGATTAGCCACTTCCAGTTTTATTAGCTCAGGGATATTTAACTACATCATCGTTTTATTCTAAACTCTCAAGAAGCATAACCTTCTTTCTTTTTCCTTCTGATATATATCATATTGTGCTGTGTAGCTCAGGGTTCATTTACATTGAGACTCATTAACATTATGTAACAGCACTAGTCTCTGCTATTTATCTCTTATTTTACAATACCATGGGTTAACTCATGTGTGCCTTCCTGCAAGGCCTAAAGAATTTGCATGTTGCACTTAAACTTTGCATGGGAACCATGGATATGAAATTCCCTTCCTGTGAGTTTACCATGTTAAAAATGTAGGCTATATCGTTCAAACCCAGTGTAATACTTGAACAGATTCAGTTCTTTACTTTCCAAGTTAACCCGCTATACTTGCCAATAATAGTTAGTGTCAAAGGCACTAAAACTACAGAAATGGCAAACTTTCAGTGGGCTAAGGTTAAAATAAAAATACTTATTCTTGGATATTTAGTGTGAAGAAGTATCCAGTTAGCTGGGAATGAATTATGGGAGTCCTTTTCAGAAACTTTTTACTAATGTTTATGTTATTGAGCATAAAGGTAAATGGTTTATTTTGCAGGAAAACGAAATTCAGGAGGTTCAGCTGGTGAAAAAGGATGGACAAAGCCTGGGTATAACAATTGTTGGCTATACAGGAGTTTCTGACAAAGGTGAGCTTTAAGCTTACTGTAATTTTAAATAGTAAAAGAGGCTATGAAGCTAATATGTCATGTTTAGAGACAGAGAACTAAATTGAAACAAAACTCCTTTCTTTCAGCCAAAATTCATGGCTGGTCCACCTAGTTTCCTTCAAAACAAGATAAACATCCTCTTCTGGTTTTAAACACCTGTGATCTGAGCTGAAAGCATTGTGATAGAATCAGAAATGTAAAAATTCCAGAAATTTTGAAACCAGGGAGGGAAACAGGTTTCCCCCCAGAACAAGGAAATTTTTTGGGGGGGGAATAAATTATGTGAAATACTTGATCAAGCTAAACTTATTTTACTGTATTAGTAAAACAGAATACATCATTTATAACTTAGCTTGAATATACATTTGTACAATTTGGCATATTTATGAAATTTAAAAGTATAAATGCCTTCATTTTCTACAAGCAAAATTGCAAATGCACCCAGTACTAGAGAGACAGAGAGAAAATAAATGTAGTGTCCTCAAAACAATACTAGGAGACCCTTATCGGCTATATTTTTAAAAAAAGTTCAAACAAAGAAATACTAATTGTTCATACACGGTGTATAAGGTCAGGCCTCAGTAGTTAATTCTAGAGTCTCATCTCTTGATTGGAAGGGACTTTGAACTACAGATAACAAGTTCCTTACTGGTTAATAATGGCTAGAATTCCCCCAATGTGTATTTATGTATGTTTGTTATTGTTTGTCTTATATTCATGAAATAAAAAAAATATTTAAAAAATAATGGCTAGATAGAGGCCAGCTAATGAGGCAGGTGAGGAACCTGGAAAAAATGTTCAGAGCGGTTCATGGAAATAGAAGAAAGACCGATGTCAATTAGAACTTCCATTATTCTGTTGAAACTCACCGTTGTCAGTGGATGCATAGTGACCTCTCTGTTTCTGTACTGAAACCCTTTGTACTAGAAATAAGAAAGAAAACAAATTCAGTTTTAAATCTGAAATAATTGTGAAGATTGTGTTAGGATTTCTTTGGTGACTTTCAGCCTTTAAGTGTCCCTAAAATCACAGCTAATCCCAGTTCCTAATAGATTTTAGCAACCAGTGTATTTTCTGGCTCTGAGGTAATCTGGAATGTAGGGAACTGTGGATGCCAGTCACTCCCTCAGCTGCTCACCCTTTGAAAGGGGGAAAACCAGGTCAGCCTCCTTTCCCTCCAGTGGAGAGTCCCTGCCCATTGTTTTAGAAAACAAAGAATGCCTTCGACAACATAAAAAATGCTCTGTTTTCATGTTAGCTGGATTATGAAAAAGACTTGTCATTTTCCCTTACAAAGGATTTGTAGATCCACTTGCAGGCTTCTCAGGGTTTCCTGGACTCCAGTTTAAGAAACTAGTGTAGACTGTCTTATGTAAAAATTTTCATACTATAGATTTTGAGTGAATAAATCCTTGTCTTAAAGCAAGACTAATTCAATAGAGAAAATATTTCTTTGGTTTCATTTCAGTGTTCCCCAAAATTTCTAGTTTCACAACAGGAAAAATTGAAAATATGTCTTCAACATTTTCTCAATTTCCTCCCCCCCATTTTTTCAGGTCTTTGCATCTCTAGATAAAAGACTGCATAGTTTTTCTTGTAAATGGCCTTTCAAGACACAGAACAAAATTAACCGAGAGCCCTGTTGTAATTTAAAGTCCAGGAACCCCTTGAAACTAAGAAATCACAGTTGACAGATACAAAGTACATGTCCAGTTAGTAGGGTTGCCAGCTCTGGGTTGGGAAATCCATGTAGATTTGGGGAGTGGAGGGCAGAGTTTGGGGACAGGAGGGACCTCAGTGGAATACAGTGCCATAGAGCCTATACTCAACAGCAGCCATTTTCTCCCTAGGAACTGATCACTCTGGTCTGGAAATCAGGTGTAATAGTGGGAGACCTCCAGGACCCATCAGCAGGTGAACACCTGGCTGAATGGTCAAACTGCTTTGTTTGTTTAGCCTGCTGATAGTTGCACTTTATTAATCAAATGTAGTTTGTTTTAAAAACACAATGAGATGTGATCTGCAATTACTACAGTTTAATGTAAGAAAATATGAAATTGTATATAGCACAGAGCTGCAGATGTGCATTGCAGGCGTCTCTGACTACAAGACCCTTCATACTTCACTCATGTCCTTTTCTTGCCATGTAAAACCTTTTATAGGTTTGAATCAAAATGTAGGGTGTGGTAAATAACTCAACTACTGCAAGAAGAGAATAGCTATCTATTCCCTTGTTAAATTAGGCTTTTTACCTTGTTAGAGAGTCACTGAGATTCCCACAATACACTGGATTCAGAGTATTTAATGTTCTGCTATTCATTCTAAGTAGGATCTAAATTACCCAAATGTAATTTTAGTTAAATTCTATAGTTAAATTAGAAGTAATGGGTGTAATTGTGCAGTGGCATAGATAGTGGGGGAGGGTTTTTTAAAAGTAAAAACTGTGGTACATACAATCCCCTGGTCTAGAAACATTGAAACTAGTTTTCTCTCTCAGCCAGGTGATGGCTTGTAGTAAAAACTTCAGAAGGTTCTTCATCCAATCATCTCCCTCTAACCTGCAGTGTAGTACAGAATAGCCTAACAATATTGTATGGTGACATAAACCTTCCTGAGCCAGAGTATTCTTTGTTTTTCCTACAAACTGTTTCTCAAAAGGCTGCCCCTCTGGCATCTCTGCAAAATGATTAATAGTCTCTCTCTCCCCCCCCCCTCTCTCCCTCTCCCTCTCTCCCTCTTATCCTTCTTTCCCTCCTTCAGTGGAATCTTCTGGGATTTTTGTCAAAAATATAATACCTGGCAGTGCTGCAGAACACAGTGGTCAAATAAAAGTCCATGACAAAATTATTGCTGTAAGTATATCTTCCTCATTATTGCTGTAAGTACATCTTCCTATTACATCACGCATTGCAAAATGTTACTGGTAATGGAGATTATTTTAAGTTGCCCTTCACACAGAGCTGCATGGCAGCTATCATACCATGATTAGATCCTGCCTGCCCAGCAGACTTCCAGTGTAATGGGAAAGCCACACACTATATGACCAATCCATGCTTTGTTCACATGTAGCTTTTGCTTGAATAAGATGGCAGTCATAGAAAAGCAGTTACCTTATGGCACTTGTGAAAACTAACTATAAATTCACATTTATGAAAAGTCTCTGAACTTTGATTAGAATTCCTGAACTCTTTTTTGTAAGTATCCCATGTATCAGCACATGAGGACACCCCCCCCCCCCCCCCGTCTAGAGCTGAATCTAGATTTATGGCTGGTTAGTCTCGATTGACTTTTCATGACTGAGCCCTTCTTTTGCTTAAGTGGTGATGTTTCGTACTGACTGGTCATACAAAGTCAGTCCCATTTCATTTGGACAGCAAAGATTTGTTGGTGTTGGTGTTTCTTTGTGTATATAATTGCATGTTAATAAGCAATACATATTACCATTCTCATCCATTTAATCAAATTTGTGTTATGGATTACAATGTAAAAAATTGACTAGTTATCTATTTATGTTAGGTTGATGGGATTAACATTCAGAATCATACCAACCAAGAAGTTGTGGAGGCATTGCGTAATACAGGACCAAGTGTATACCTTACATTGCTTCGAAAGAAACACTGTTGTACTGATTCCCTTTCAGAAAGAGGTTTAAACAGAGGTAAATCTTTTCTTCCTCTCTCTGTATTAACCATGGCAAATATTCTGAACTGATTTTACTGAACACCTGATTTTTTTTTCTTTTGTTTTCTTTGCTAAATGTTCCATAGCAGCAGTCTCACAAGAACACTTTTGTATTCCAGTTTGGATAATCCTGTAGAGCAGGGGTCCCCAGTCTTTTTCAGCCCATGAGCACCTTTGGAATTCTGACACAGGGTGATCAGTGCAACTATAAAATGGCTACTGCGGAAGGCAGAGCCAACCACACAGAGGCAGCCCAAATGCAGGGGAGAAGAAGGGTCATTTAAAAAATACACTGGGGGAAAAGGAGTGAAAGAGAATAAAACCAATACTGTGGTGGCAATTGTGACTGTTACTCTGCATAGTCAATCAGTTCACTAGTGGCCAGTCAGAAGCCGTATGTGGCCCCATCCACATTGGGGACCCCTGCAGTACAGCCAGTTAATTCAGGATACTTATTTATTTGTATTATGCAAATATTTGCAGTATTTATGTACTGTTTTATGACCTGAAGTGGTTGAAAATTACAAAATACCTTCCTTATTCATAGAAACATAATCTATTTGGAACATCATAAACGTGCATCAGAGTTAACCATACGCTTCTGAGGCCTCAAGAGTATATTACCATCCATAATCTGGCAATTTACTGCATATTTTTATCAGTTCAGATCCGACCACTGGTTACCTGTTAGTTTCTGAGGGCCCTGAGGGTCTCTAGTGTAGTACAGTTTCATGTAATATGGCTATATATAAAATAATAGCTTGTCTTTAGATCTCTAAAGGTCTCTTTAGAGTCCCATTAAGATCTTTAGATGTGCCCGTTCTGTGTATCTTCTGTTCTGTTCTGGCTGATTGTTACCAGAGTATGGCCTTCTCTGCAGTAACATATCTCCTTTTCAGTACTCTCATCCAGGTACTTCCTTTTTTTCAAAACAAGATAAAGGTTTTTTGAAATTATAATTCTGCCATGCTTTTGGTGTTATAAAAGGTCTAGGGAATTTATGATTTGCTATCATGCTGTTTTCACTAGGGGCTGCTTGTTTTTTAATGATAATATTTATTTTTTAATTTTTTTATTTTCACACTTATATCCCGCCCTCCCCAGTGGGCTCAGGGCAGCTAACAGAGGCCAGATCATTAGTCTATTGTATCATTATTGTATTTAGTGATGTGCTATCTTTGAACTACCTTTGGTTCATTAAGGGGGGAAATGAGACTAAAAACAAAGCATTAAAATATTTTATGAAATAGTTCTTACAATCCTAATTTAATTAATTACTAACACTTCAGAATGGTCATCCTATCTTTTAAGGAATTTTTAGAGGAGTGGAGAACCAAATCTCTTTAATGATGGTCACTCAACAAAGAGTTGTTTAAGGTGTGTCTGTGGAGGGGAAGTAATTAATATGAAGACACAATGTAAAAAGTTGTATGTCATACCACAAAAATCAGATTCACTCTAGAATGCGAGGAAGAAAGTGTGATCATGTCTAAAATGGAAGCAAGGTTATCTGAGGGGACTGGTGGTGTGTGCTCTCAACATCCTTTAAGTGCATAACTGACCAGAAGCTTTTGGAAAACTTACAGTGCAGTCAAATACCTCAGCCATATTCCTGTCTGGAGTTGTGGAAACTGAAACTAACTTAGATAGTGAAAGTGAGGAAGCACAAGAGCAAAAGGATAACTCCGAAAATGAAAATCAGCAGAAACTACATACAGTGGGTAAGTCAGACCCCATTTTGAAATGACAAATGTTAATTATTATTTTGTAACACAGTGCCACAGAAAAAAAAATAGTGCTTTATGGTTAGAGATCAGAAAATTTCCAGTGCATCAGGTAACTACGATTCTGAGCATGTTTCTTCTGAGGAAGACATGTTTTAAAAATAAAATAAAATAATTACTTGCATGGGACTGATTGGCTGAAGGTTCCTATGAAAGCATAATTTATTAGCTTTAGTCGTTTAGAATGTTTACTAAATCTATCCTAAAGAGTCAATTATTTTAATTAATAATTAATTGCAGAATTTGTACCCTTCCTTTCTTGAGCCAACAGGGCCACCAAGGAAATTAGCAAGTAAAATAATGTATCCTGGTCTTTCCTGCTTCTTACTGGTGCCATGGTATATCTTTGAATTGCAGATATGCTGTGTTCTTTTAACACAGGGTAAATTGTTAGGGCTTTACTGATGTGACTTACAACTAGGTGACCTTCCAGAACTTTCAGACTTGCATGTCTAGGACATGGTTTTGCTATGACTTCAAGTTTCTTTAAATATATACAGAGATGCCTTGCACTGGGTCAGACCATTGTCCAATCTGGTCCAGCACTGAGTGTAGATGTCAAAGTCTCTCAGCCATGCCACCTCCAATTATTTATTTAACCTGAAGATGCCAGAAATTAAACTTAGGATATATTATGTGTGAAAATAATGTAGATTACCATGGAGCAGAAGGCTTGATTTTAATTAATATTAAAGGCAAAGTTTTAATTCTTTGAGTAAGACCAAAGCAGCCTGAATGTGTCTTTAATGATTTTGGAGGAGTTGTGCATTCAGTACTCTAATTCTCCTCATCTTTTCTATACTGGAGCTTTGCCTGACTCTGCCAACTGATACAAGAAGTCAATGTGACGACAAGATCAGTGGTCACTCTTGTACAGATGCACTTCTGAAGCTATACAATTAGATCTTGGTGCAGAAGTCATAAGCCTGCTCAAAGAAGGGAATTTGGGAATCTGAAAATTGAGGTACCCCTTGATTGTGTCCCTGCCATTCTGAGTCTCCACATAGCCACCACTTAGAGTGCCTCTGAGAGGCAGAAGTAGTCAGAAATGTTGGGGCTTAACTGACTGTACTATTTCTTACCTACTGAACATCTGTTTCTGAGAAGCAATAAGGAAATATCCAAAGTTAAGTTCTCTGCAGCTAGGGTATTTTCTGCATGGGTAGGCAATTCAGTATTACTTTTTTGCAAGGTATACTTTTCACTTTTGATGAGATACTTTGATACCAAGCTGCATCTGTAGCCTTTTGCTTTGTTAGGTATATTACACTGCAATTTTAGTAACACTTGGCATTGTTGTTTCATGCCACATGCTGCAGTTGACAAATTGTAACTAATATCAGTACTCACCATGCCCGGGCATTCATAGGCTAATGAAAATGATTCTAAAACTGAGTAAGTAATCTCCAGCATAAAATTCTACATTCAAATAGTTGCCATTTGGTAAGATTCAATTTTATTACAGAAATGGCGAAAACCATTTAGGATACAAAGATTTAAGAGTGTTTCACACTGGTAAATATACTCATTTACTCTTTCTTGCTTGAGAGCTAAAAGCAGTCATTTCATTTCAAACATGGTTTGATACTAAAACACTGTCTATAAAAATTCACCCTGGAACAGAATTTAATGGCCAAATTAAATTCCAAAAATAGTTCTTACATTGGAAATGCTGACAGGCACTTAATTATAATAGCACTGAAGTAAAACACCACTAATTTAATGCCCTGTCTAAACTCTGGAAACACCTTTCAAAGTTAATGTAAAAAGTGCATTTTATAAGATGTGTTGTTTCTCTTTTAGGTCAAATTTTGCTAAACTGTCATTAAAACTCTTGTTTCCGTCAGAGGTTTTAAGCAGTGAAACAGGCTAGCAAGCATGTTTTGGTGCAATCAATGAAAAGTGTATGAGTATATGCACAGGGCCCTTAACTATATCCTAGAAATGTAGAGAAGCCCAAGCATCAGTGTTAACCTGTGGCTGAAGTGATGGGTTTTAGCTACAAGAAAACTGGTTCAGTGCACTCTTCAGAGCCAGTTATGGCACAAACATGATTACAGGGTACATACCAATGTTCATCAAGAGAATGCATGAAACATAAAGATGAGAGATGTGTGCTGTGGACCAGGTACATGTCTAAATTTTTGATGGGTTGCTTTTCCCTAAAGCTTCACATTCCCCATAAAGCACTGGTGGAAACTTACAGGTCTCTGTCAAATATAAGCTGGCCCTTCAGTTATGAAGCATACTAGGTAACCATAAGATAATAGTTTTGGGGGAGCTTGAAAGCATAGTTTTCTCATAGAAGGAGTAAGAGAACATAAGAACGTAAGAGAAGCCAATGTTGGATCAGGCCAGTGGCCCAACACTCTGTCACACAGTGGCCAAAAATACCAGGTGCTATCAGGAGGTCCAGCAGTGGGGCCAGGACACTAGAAACCCTCCCACTGTTCCCCCCCCCCCAAGCATCTAATGAGATACATATTAACAGAGAGGTGGGTTATGTTGCAAGAACAGTTGTAAAGAGACCATCAAATATTATTTGGTATCCAAAGGGAATCTACAGTCTCTTCATCTAAAGAATTACTGCATGTAAACATGTCTGCCAAAATTTGACATATGAAAATTAGGGAATCCTGTGCATAAATTACTTGGCCTACAGGCAGTCTGGTGGCATGGCTTCGCAGACACCGATAGGGCCACCATAATGTATATTGAAATGTACCACAGTCTGTGGCTTCAGCAATGGCGGAGGCTCTCTCCTGAACAGGGGAGGCATTCTGCGCTCCAGGGGTGTTGGAGAGGTGCCACCTCAAGTGGCACCCCCAGGTGAGTCTCAGTAAGGAGGCTCCAAGCCGGGGGCGCTTGGAGGGCGACCTCTTCGATGGCTCGAAGCCGGAGAATTGAGGCGCTCTTTCTTGCCCCAATCGGTCCACCCCCTGAGAGGTTCGGCTCTTGCCGAGCATAGCTGAATGCCGATCGGAACAGGCAAGAAGGTCAGCGAATGAAGCGTGAACAAAAGGTGTCTGTGATCAGACCGTCAATGAGTCGAGACGAGCGAGAAACTTTTAAAAGTGAGTTCTGATTCCCCCCCCTACCTTCAACGGCGTCGGGAGAAATCCCAGACACAAACAAACGGAACTGCGTTCTAAAAGAGACGGGGGGGAGGAGAACAGAAAGCACTCAAGTGTGCTAGAGACTTAACTGCATTTACGGATAAGTTTTACATTTGCTGAAGAAGTGTGAAAAAAGCACTCTTTAGTGTAAACAAAGCAGAAAATGGCCGGCGTCCGAGGGAGAGGAACAAAAACAGGGCGTGGTTCTCAGAGTCCGAGGGTAGACGAAGGAGATGTCTTCTCCACACTATCAGAGCTACTCCGGCCCTTAAATGAAAGGCTCGATGGTCTTAACCAGTTAATGGCTGCATCGAATCAAAGCATGGCAAAACAGCAGCAACAGATCACCGAGCTTTTGAAGAAATCGATTCAAACGGATGAAAAGCTCAAAGAAACAGCCCACGACACTAAAAAGTTGAAGAAAAAAGTTGGTTTGATGGAACAAAAGCAGGATCTGCACGAAAGGAAGCTATTGAACCTACAAATGGAAAAATCGAACAAAACTCTTAGATTCCAAGGGGTGAATGAAACGCCAGGAGAAATTTTGAAGGATGTGGCAGCTGAGCTAATCGTCTTATCGCTCGGCAGTTCACCGGCAGAAGCGAATGCAGAGATCGAAGTGACATATCGGTCGTACTCTAAGTATATCAAGCAAAAGAAGGTGGCGCAGGGAGTAACAGCACCTGTAGTAACATCTATAGCGAACAGCCATAATGGCT